TATGAACAAACACCTTTTGGTGTTGCTATTCTTCAATAACAACAATAACTGATCCCTGTAGCCTCATTGCGCACAGACGACTATTGACGGGTATCCAATCTATCATAGAGGCTTTAGCTTTATCGTTTAGTACGACACCTACACCACGCTGACCCAGTGAGCGGGCTTCGTCCTCTCCTGATGTGCGAAGGAAATACTTCGAGGACAGACCCGGCGCACTCAGATGGCTTATAATACTGGGATCCTGAATTCGTGTCTCCGATACGCAACAGACATCGATTTCTAGAGACTGTATTGTACGCGCAAGACACGCCTGTTGACCCACCTGCATAAGAGTCCTCACGTTGAAAGACCCCAGAATGAGAGGTTGACGAGGCTTCAGAATCTGCACTTTATTTACAGCAAAAACAGTTACAGTGCCACTTGGCAAAGACCTTTGGCGAGTGACGACCAAGTTGTCTGAGGGAATATCACGGGTCGGAAGAAGGGGTAAAGGGATAGGGTTGAGTACGGAAGACAAAGAGTCAAACAAAGGTTGGGATATCAGAATGTGAGAAATCAACGAACTCCGATGAGTGAGATCCGGACAAGAACATATGTCCGGGCGTCTACCAACTAGGACCAATATTCATAGTCTTCCTACGCTCGAAATGTGGTGTCTTGAGTTTATTTTCCGCAAAGGATTGTTCCAGCATTATTTTAATCAACTTGGGTCACTGTAAACAAACACTTTTGGGGGAAGTAAAACTATCATAATCAGAGAATAATTAGGGTTTGCAGAATTTCTACATTGAAAAGGCAGCTAGAGGAAGACTACACAACCTGGAGGAAGCTGTTCGAAATTCCAGATCAGGCAAGATACGCACTTGAAGGATAAATAAACTTGACTGCTCCTCATGGTGTACGCTTTTCATCTGCAAGGTGCAATGACACCACAAGAAAGGGGTTTTAGCTTCCCTATTTTAGATCATCCGTGATAATGAGCCATCTGCAATGGAACATAACTCGAGGTTTTTGATCATCGCACAGGTAGAATGAAGCCAGCGGATCAGCAACACTGAGGTACTAGGGAGCACAAAAATTCATTGCCAAAACGTAAATCCAAGCATAGAGAATTCGCTCGTTAGGATAAGTGGTGATACGTGAGGCAAACACTCTTCTACCGCACCACACTGCTGCTGCTAAACAAATGGAAAAAGCCAACCGAAGAGCTTCTGGTGATGTAGAGACGGGGTACGAAGAATTGCACCGAGAGATTGGATGGCTTGGGAACACGGAATACGGTGCGACCAACCGACAGCAGTGACGTTCTTGTCCTCAGTTCCTGTCAGGTCAGAATGTTTGAAGTGTGTTTGAGTGCTCTGTGTTGACTAGTGGCTTACATGCTTTTCCCGCCTCTCAAAACCTCACACATTCGAGCCAATTTGATACACATTCAATGAGCTTGCCAGTGCATGGTGGAGTTCGTTGACCGAGGGCCTGATCTGGTGCGAAGGAACGCAAAGCTGGACCGATAGACGTAGGCCAGTCAAGCCGTGTTGGGTTTCACGGTTGAAATTTCCGGGATCAGACTAAGTAAATACACAATCAAACACTAAACGCACACACCACCCGGCCACTTTGTGGATCAAGCTTTGGTTAGCCGAAGGTTTCGGTTGTGAATTCCCCTACCTTGGTATGGGCAACCTCGCAGTAGCACGCTCACAAGCAAACCATAGAACTTTTCATTTTCTTATACAAATTATTGTCCTGTAATTTGTTTGGCACATAGTCTGGACTCAGATCTGTGTGAAGTTCAATTTTTTTCTTAATTCAGATTAATCAAAGGTCGTGGAAATATCGGTGGCCGGTAACAGTACTGTCTCGCAAACTGATGCTGGTTTACAGATTCATTAATTCATTCAGCACAGATTTGTCTTAAATGGATAAACATGAAAAGTCTGAAATGTTTTTTTGCAGTGACATGTAATCAAAATTTGTTTTCAAACCAGAACTATCCAACTCGATCAGATAACTGTCATCAGAAGGAATCGATTTGCAGGGCGCGTATGATGATATATCCGAATTTTTCGGTCTGTCTATCTGAGTATCGAGCGCCAGTGAGTAAGTTTGTACAGCGGAAATATCAATCGATTGACAAGCGCCTTATATGCTGGACAGCGCAAGGAGAGGGCCAGAAACAGAACTCATCAGGTAATGATCACTGTTTGATTCATGGGTGGATAGGTCTGAAGATCGATTCGCAGATTAGAACTTCAGAATTAATCTATAAGTATTGATCTTAACGCGAGTGAACCCAGAGAGGATGACGAGTCACATACCAATACTAACTTACATGAACAAAACAGTCAGCGACTGAAAAGATCTCTCGACATAAAAATCGATGATGATTCGAGTGTGATTTGTGTGTCTGCGTGTAATTTTTGAGATTTGGTGCGAATAGAAGGTCCGAGGCCATGTGCTCAAACGGGCCGGAAAATGAGCGAAATGATTCCATTCTCATGCAGAAAGAGTCGAGAACGGGAACGATAGAAAGAGGTTGAGGGAGAACCGGTAATTTATCNTGATCGGGTTGGGCAGAGGTGATCAACGCATGGCTGATACACGTCTTAACTCAGATCAAGTGTGAAAGCTACACTAAAAAGAACGAATGTAAGGTTACAGATCTACAAAGAAAGTGGATCGTCGCTACTGGCCCGCAAAAGAATGTTTTCACTGAATGACATATTTCGTGAAAGTATAACTTCGAAACGATCCCATGTGATTGGCTGTATTGGACATTGCGGACAACTTTCACGTATCGGGTTGATAGAAAACCGAACGCTAAGGTTTCAAGCAGCGTCCCAAATTTTTGGACGTCAGACTTCCCTCAAAAGTTCCATGTGTAGCCCTCGTTGAGCAGTACAAACCGCTTACACGATTTGTTTAAAATGTTATTGTCTTTTAATTGATGATAATAGGCTTGCTCCAGTTGAATAACAATAGGTACGGTAATAAATAACTACATTTTAAGCGAAAACATTGCATTGAAAAGAATGGGAACATACCTCACCCATACAAACGGTGGCAACAACAGCCGCCTGACCGTGATCCCAACCGATCGTGTTTATCCCAGCCACTTGGCGCACTTTAGACTGGACTCCATCAGCACCAACCTGAAGAGTAAAGGGATCAAATTCATTATTTTTGCTAAGATATATTTCAAATACCAGTACATCGATCGGTGATCTATGTGCCCCAAATTCATGGGGACGGTTGAAAAAAGTTGATGAATAAACTGAGGAACATGGGAAAAAGAATACGCGCAAAAAGGTTTGCGTTCGTCTGAAGGTCCGCCACGGGACACGGCTCTGATAC